GAGCCGTGCTCTCCGTCTACGCACTCTTGCAGACCATTGAGATTCTCTGCATTTACAAAATGATGAGAAGTGTACAGTTTCGAGTACTCAATTTCGAACGGCTCTGTCAAGTTTTGAATGCGTTCATTGGCTCATTGCCAACATCAGCAGCATCATCAAACTCGACAGTGTCAATACCCAACAATGCCCAACAGGACGTCCCAAATAATGGTGCCACCAGTAACGGTGCTGTGGAGCCAATACTATCATCTACCAAAACAGTTATTGCCCCTGATGAAATCCAGATTAAAACTCCCGAAGAAATGGCCCTGACAGAGAAAATTCTACAACCACCGGCACACTTGGCACGGCGAGCGTTTGCATTTGGATCGCTGGGACGAGCCAGGTTAGACCCCGAAGAGTTGAAACAGTTGCTAGATATCTTTGCCAGAGAAAAGTTTCTACTAGTGGTGGGAAAGAACATGAAAGCCCCACGCCGTGGAGTGTTGAAGCGATTGATCCGACGATTCAATGCGCTGGAAAAGAATCCCCGTCGTTGGAACATTCAAGAAAATTGCCACATTGTGCTGCACACGGAAGCCACCAATGCCGATATCGTCAAGAGTTCTTTGGCACTCTTGCTTCTTCGGAAAAAGTTGTCCCTGCTTGGGGACGTGCCGGGTCCGGATGAGATCCGAAGTAGAGATTGTTTGGATCTGATTGACGAATCATGCCAACAAGCAGACCGTCTCTTGCCTAAACTACTGCGACAAATGCAGATCAAGGGATGGACATCTCCGGCCCGATTCATGTTTGGAAGAGTGACTATGAGGGCTGATTGGCCAATAATTCAGTCAAGAGGCAAAAAGAAGAGTGAACGATGAAGCATGTATCTGTGATTTTGGGTGATGAGAGAGGTTGGATGCTTTGGTTTGTCTATTGAATGTCAAGCTGCGTTTGCAGCAGTGATGCGTTATTTCTAGAACTACCAGCCACCCTGAAAGATGACTTGGTCATGGGAACAGCTTTGACAGCTAGAGCTGTGATTTCTGGCAACAATTCCCAAGGCAATGACCCGTTCCCTGTCTTTCGGAGGGCACAAATTGTGGGTTCAGTCCCTTCTCGAGCGTCTACAGCCACATGAACTTGACAAAAGCAACATGCCTCTTCTTCTAGAGACGCATCCAGCAAAAGCAGGTAGGAATTGGTGAGTGCTCGATGACACACTGTAACCGTGACGACCACTGCAGCATTGTCAATCCCTGATGGAGTCTGAGCCAGGCTAAGATCTGACTCCAACATGAGATCTGAAGAAGACGACCCGACCGGGTCCATGGATGTCCCAGCATCGTTGACAATGGAGGATGGAACAACTTTGGGTAGAAGTGTATTTTGGAGAGCTGCTCGTATTGCGTGACAGCAGGCATCAATGATGCTTCCTGCAGTACCCGAGAGAATCTCAACATCCACACTGACGTTGAATGCATAGTGATATGGGATAATGCATAGACTTTCCAGGTCGATAAGATTTGTAGCCAGTAATTCAGATATGATGGACTGAACTCTGTTCCGGTCTTCCTCGTTCTTCTTGCGAGACAGTGAGGAGTTCGCAGCAAGGCTGTCTTCCACATGAACAATGAGATTCCCTTGGTTTGGTTGCGACTGCGAAGGAGTCATCACTTCCACTTTGACACTGCAAAGAATGTGAGTGGAAGTAGAACCCGAAGAGGACAAGATCAGACGCGCCGATCCATTCGAGAGCATCAATGGCGGGTGTCCATCCGCCGATGTTGTCTCGGAACTGGTAACTATTGTGTATTGGCGAATATCCTCCCTTTCCCTCCCATCCAACCGACAGTTATCAGCACAACCATCAATCAAGTATAGCTTTTCTGATTCGCTCAGCTGCAGTGCCAACCCGGATGCCATTGTCTTGCTTCCTCCTACTAGCTATATAGTACCGGTACTAGCTACTAGTAGTATGTCCAAGTTCCTCGCGTCGTTTTGAAATGGTTTTGTCCTCAATGTTTTTCTGGTTGGCTCTCGGAGTGGTCAAATGTGCGACCAACGATGGCTTAATTAAGCAGGCGATTTGGAATTTTTTGATTTTGCTAAAAGGGAGGATTTTCAAATTTTGGCCTCAGTCACCCGCCACGAAAACTGGAGGACTAATAAGAGCTGCGGTACGGTGGTGTACAAAGTGCCACACAAGGACAAAGGGGCTATCCCACCGCCTGAACAGCATGCATCGTACACCCACATTATTTCTGTGCCGTACCAACCTCTGACGAGGCCATCAAATCACAGCGACATGCGCATGCTTATCTTACAGCTAGCTACAACCATCGCCATGGCTGAATGCAGCCCGCAACAGCAACCAGCCAGAAAGCCAAATACCCCAACCAAAAGAAACGAACCATCACATGGCAATACTTCAACCATCCGTCCGACATTTGCGCTTGGGCCTCGTCTTGCCGGCGTTGGGGGTTGGACTCACCATGCTCTTCTGGTTTCGTTTGGCTCCCCTCGTGGATCGGTTTGAATCTCGTAGAGGCTTTGCCTTTGGAGTTTGCTTCTCGTCCTCGTCACTGCTTTCTGCAGGGTCCATGCGGGTACGCTTGGTGGGGCTGCTGAGGACGGATGCCTCGTCATTCGAGGGATCGACGCTGACTTGCGAGGGAATCGGAGGAGCCCCCCGCTTGGTGCTACGCTTTGCTGCCTTTGTTTCCTTGCCGTCGGCCACATGTTCCTTCTCGGGCGCTTTCTTTTCCTCCTTTGCAACATCTTTGGTGCGTCTGCAGTGACTGTGTCTAGGTGGCTGTGTCTCCAGTTTGTCTTCGTCCTCGCTGTCCCGAGAGCTGGTTTCCTCCTCTCGACGTTTGGTGCGGTTGCATTTGGCGGGTGTCGTCTTTGCGGCATTGTCTTCGTCCTCGCTGTCCCGAGAGCTGTCATCCTTCTCTCGGCGTTTGGCAGGTGTCTTCTTCGTCGGCTTCTCCTCCCCTTCTTCATCGCTGTCATGTTTCTCTCCGCGTTTGCTGCGTTTGGCAGGCGTCTTCTTTTTTTGCTTCTTCTCAGCTTCGCCCTCGCTGTCTGAAATGTCAGAGAAGTTGGGCCGCGCGGGAGATGCAACCATCGGAGGAACATCATCTTTGTGACGAAACAGGCTTTGTGGCATCGGAGGTAAGTTCGGGTGCTGGTCGAGGTCATTATCTTTCTTGACAAAACTCAACAGGACATCCCGCGCAGTCTCACAAATGATTCTCAGCTTTGTTTCTTCGATTGAAGCCTTTTTCAGCGGGCCTTTCCTTTTGCCCTTTGTGGGCAAGGTAGACGATGATTCTGTGAAACCGACGGGTACCGCTTCGGCGAGACGACCCAAGATACCCAAAAGAAAGGAAACATTGTCGGCTACGTCCCCCAAGCTCAGAACCAGCGGGTCGAACAACCACTTCAAACGTTTCTTCAGCAATCGGTGAAGCCCCACGTCTGTTTTGGACATCTTTGATTCCGTGGTCTTGTCCGTGGTTGGTGTGTCCCTTCGAAACGTCAGCAAATGAATAGTATAAAAGGTAATGTACTCTGGGGTGTACTTGAAAGTGCTCATGAACTCCCGATGCGGATCCTCGTCGTCATCAACAGTAGCAGCAGCATGGTTGTATCTCTGTCGGATTCGAGAGATCCCCTGCTGGGCGGCTGACTTGGCTATCTGCGATAGCTTTCCCACGTGCGCCGCATTCCCACCGTCAGCACAGTAAATTATAAACGCCATGAAGCGAAGACTAGGCGGCTCGTGACCTTTGAAGAAACCGACCCCCTTCATCATCTGGTTGAGTTCTTCGATGAGACTGCATCTCACAGCTGTTTCTTCGTCCACGAATATCTCTCCCAAAGTGTGCCACATCCGGCAAGTGAGAAATTTGCCTTCAAGCCGTCTGTTGCTGCAGAGCCGAAGAAGATGTTGGGCAGCACATTGTCGCAGCGCAGCAAGATCGCCGCGGTTGCTGCATAGATCTTTGTCCCGGTTGGAAGGTGGAACACCGTGATCGCGAATGATGTCTGTCAAGGTGGAGAACAGCACCCGAATCGTCTCATCGGAAGGCACCACAACGTCCTCTCCGAGCTGCGATCTCTGGACTATGGAAATCACATACTGAGAGAGAAATTCGATCGCAGCGCACGATCTGCGACAAGCAAACGACAGCTCCTCGTTTTCCAGCAGGCACGACGCCTTCGTGGGGGTGAGTGCCCTCTTTCGCCGTTTGGCGGGCTTTGATCGTTTCTTGGCAGCGGCCCCATCAACGTCTTCCTCCTCTGATTCACTGTCGCCCTTTCCACCGGCCAATCGCCCAAGCAAAATTCCTTCAAGAGCAAATCGAGTCACAGCTTCCGCTCCTTGACTGAAAGATCGAGGAGCACGCCTAGACAACTCCGCCAGCGCAGCTAGGATGCCGATGACTTGTTTCGAATCTATGCTCAAGTTGGATGCCGCCGTTAGGGCTTTGAACAACCATGAAAACGATTGTTCCGCTGCCTCGTCATCGCTTTCGCCGCCATCACTGTCGTCTTGCCCATCGCTGGATTCTTGTTTGCCGAAGGTTGTTGCCAGTACAGAGACCGCGCTGCGGGCTTGCTGCGGCGTCCCGTTCTTTGTGCAGCACTGCAAGAGCTGCTTCCGTAGCCGCTCGTCAAGCTGCTCAAAGCTCAGAAGGCCACGTGGGGTTGATTTCTGTCGGGCCCGGGCAGTTGTAGCTAAAAGGGAGATCAGAAAGGATACCAAGCCGCTTTCTTCTACCTGACGTTTGAATTCTCTCTCATCCTGATCGAAGGACGGCGCTCCTCGGCAAGAAGCAAACATGTCTTTCACGATCTTGAAATTTCGTTGATCGTCGCAGATAGTAGAGGAAGATGCAAGGGCCACACTGACTGAGGACATCAAGGCAACGCAGCATTCAATTTCGCCACCCTTCAAGCATTCAGCTGCCCAACACAAACAGTGATGAACGATGTCAACATTGATAAGTGATCCCATGACAGCGCGGCGGGTCAAAGTTCGAACCCAGGTTGAGACTTCATCGCCAAGGGATTTCACACGCTTTGGCAGTTCATCCAGAGCACGGATTCTGGTAGATTTACCCTGAAGGGGGGTTGTCAGAGTGGCCAAGATTCGGAAGATGTGCTTGTCGCGAGCCCCATGCAGGGCAGAGAGAATGTCGTCCAAAGACGAAGACGACGAGTCGGGAGGGAGCAAGGCAGCAACTTCTTCCAATTTCTGAATGGCGGCACTATCGGCAGCAAAGTATTCCTCGGAACCTAGTGGGGACAAGAGGCACCAGTGAGCGTGGAGTGTACTAGTACTCCCTCGGCCAGTACCCAGATCTACAATAGTACTCACCTTTTTCAAAAGACCGCACCTTGGTTCTCGCCTGCAAGTAATCCCCAACAGCATCCTGTATCTTAGTGCGCACATTGAAGAAGTTATGTAGAAAGTGGAATGCGTTGCTCGTGGGATGCTTGACCAGGAGGTTGGCATCGTCGTCGGGAGCACGGAGGCTACTCAGCAGGATTGTCAGCCCGACAGCACCAGCCGAGGGACTGAAATTCTTGTTGGCGGTCTTTGAGATATCAGAGCCGAGGAGGAGATCATCCACGCATTGCGTTAATCGATTTTGGAACCTGTGATCTGTGGTCCAGATGAAGCCCAGCAAGATCCGGCTTGGGATCCATCGATACTTTTTGTTCCGTTCCGCCCTTGCATTGCTGTCCTCACCCAGGTCACCATCTACTTCATCGTCATCCTCCAAGCCGGCACCAGCCAACAAATTGCAGTTCTCTTTGAGCACCTGAGCAATCAACTCGACACTGCAATGTTCGCCTGCTTCATGGATACCCTGAATAATGGGGCGTGTGTAGAACTTCAGGTAAATTTGCGACAATGCAGTGACTGCTTGCAAACGTTCCTCTTCATCCTTGGACTCCACCCTGTTCCCCACGGCCTCCAAAAGCTCTGCAGAGCACGCGTTCTTGCTCTTCGAGTTTCCAAATGCAAAATCGCAGACAGCGCGAAGCGCGAAGAGCCTCATCTCCAGCTCCTTTTCATTCATCATCATCCAAATCAAGACGCGCTCGCAGAGTTGCACTGTGCTGGTGTCGGAGTTGTTGGTGACCAAAAGGACGAGGCACTTGACCATGGTCAGGCGAATGTCTTTATCGACGTCCTTGTACCGTTGCACCCAAGTCTGGAAGCAGTGGCTAAATTTGGCGGGCAACTTGGACCCCTCTGCACTGAATAGTTGCCCCATCAGATTGACAGCCTTGGTGCGTCTCTCCAAAGATTGCGATTCCAAACATTCCGACACGGCGCCCATTACCGATGTCAGCATGCCAGGTGCAGCCATTCCCAGCCGATAAAGAATTGTCCACACATCGATAGAGCTATCGTCTCCATCCTCCTCTTCCGTGTGTGCCGCAATGACACTTTGCTCCAGAACGTGTGCGTCGCCGTTGAGGAGTCCGTTCAACAGGTTGGAGATTGGATTCGACAGCGCGAGTGTGTTTTTCCGAATAATAGAGCAGGCCAGCATGTGAGAAGGGTTTGCCTCTGAGATTTTGGGTGGCAGATTGTTTCTTTGTCTGCCTTTTGGTTGTTGGGCGAGTGCTGGATTGGTGACCATAGTGGTGGGTCCTTGTCCAACGCAGAGCAAGAGTTGGTCCACCACCTGGACTGGGATAATTCCCTGGAATTCTCCCAAGCAACCATTGATCATTTTTTCAATATATTCCGTGACAATAGCCGTGTGCTGCAGGCGGAGGGAATGTAGTGCTCTATGGAATAGATCTGAGAGTAATTCCAAGGGTTTTTCGTGTTCGAACGGTTCTTCTTCTTCTTCCAAATCATTTTGCGCCAGATTCACGAGGATAGCGCCCACATTGACTTCCGCTAGGAGCTCCAGAATGCGTAGGTACATGGCGTAATGAGGTTGCGTTGGCTGAGTGGTATGGGACAGATTGCTCAGTTGTTGGATAGTCTGTTGGAATATATGGCACACTTGTCCTTCATCCCATGGTGCTTCTGGAGCAAACTATTGTAAAAAGAGACAGCAGAGAAAATTAATTAATTTGTCAGTAACAGAATGACAGATAATGGCGTCATTGCGTTGCATTGTTACTAACCACTTCAAAAAGCTCCATACAACAGAGGACGGTATAGAGTCGCACGTCCTTGTCTTTGTGATCCAGGCCAACCTTCACAAGGGACATACACATGGCCTGCATTCCTGGATATTCTTGTGAGTCCACTTCCGCAATGGGCTTCAGCAAGTGCGCAGCATTGCGGAGACGCCGAACCAAATCCTTCTGCACAATTCAATTAACAAAAGACAAAATGATGGTTAGCGGCCGCTCAGTTTCCTCCAAGTAAAAGAAAAGAAACTCACTCGATCTTTGTGCTTCTCGATGTATGACGCCGACAGCACCTTGTATGCTGGAGGCATCGACGAGGGCGTGTCCACAACCTGCGACATGGTCAATAGATTTTTTGGTAATGCTGCAGATAGATGGGCAATGCGTTTGTTTCCTTCTCACTTCCTCTTCTTCTTTCCTTCGATTTTTGATTGATTTTTGATTTGGTGCTTGCTTGGCGTGACTGATTTCGCGCCTTTTTGGCGCCAACTTTTTAAACTTCATGCCAGCCCACAGAGCTATTAGATACGCTGTGTATGGTACCGAGTGAGGAGAAAGCTGTGAAGCTCCCAACCAGCAACAGCACTTCGTTTACAAAAAATGTAGCATTTTGTTGACCCGCTGATCTGGAAAGGGAACCTCAGTATGGCTTTGCAACGGCTGCTTTTGCCAATCCCATGCTTCCTGCTTTTGACACGTATGCTGTTTGCTGAGACCAGGTACCTGGTCTTCATGTATCACTCTCCAGTCTGCAGGAGAGATCGTTCTGGGCTCTGGGTTCCAATTCAAAGAATCCAGTTTGTGGCGCAAGAGGTAGTGAAGTGGAGCTTAGTTAAAGTTGTCACTCAGCTTTGGGAATGCAGAATCCAATGGATGACTAAGAACCCAAGGATAAAACCACCAAATAGTTGGCTCCAATACGGCGCAACTGGTTGAATCTTGGAATGAACATACGCCTTGGACATGAGTATCTGAGTAGACCATCTAGACAGAGAGGATCCGAGCTAACCAGTTTTGAGAAACGACGAGACCGTGAAGATCAATCATTTGAACTGGCCAAGCTTCCAGACTGAATGAACACACTAGTACCGGTCCATGTATGTCTGAGCTGATGCCAGAAAGAAAGGATTGAAGAAAACAAAAACTTTGTGCACTAGTACTAGTAGCTACCGGTAGATAGGATTGCATCATTGCTTGCTGCCACCAGGACTCACTACATGTACAGTAGCTAGCTGTGTTTTTAGATATTGTCTTCTTCTTCCTCCGATTCCTCACTGTCGCTATCATCCGCCTGAGTTGGATAGAGATGTGCAAAGACCAACTGCGATATTCTTGCATCTTTCGATGCCATTCCCACGAGGCGATGCCGGATATACGCCAGTCCCAATCGACACGGGCCACCGGCTTTGGCCAATTCCTTCAACACTTGCGATGCCAACATGGAAGATTCACTGCGCCCCACTTGCCCAGCGAGACAAGGCACCAATGCATCAAACAGTCGGGTGCGAACCATTCCATTTGGTTTGACTGCCAACCGGTTCGCCATGCGTGGCGAATCAATCTCCAACAGAGGCAACAAGACATCGAGGGACCGATCGCGAACATCCGTGTCGACGGTTCGTTCATATCCCACCATCAAGCTGAGGTATGTGACCCGAGTGACGATATTCACGGTAGGATCTTCATAGGCCAAACTATCCGGTCCAAGACGTGGGACATATAGCATATCAATCAACCGGTCCAACACTCGATCGGGCAAATTGACCAGAATGGCTCTGGCCGTTGGAATCTTGTCCTTGGACACATCATCTTCCACGGATCCCACGACACCGACTCTAGCTTGATTGACGAATTCTTGCAGTAAATCGAGCGCTTGAATCAACACGCTGCGGGGTGTTCTTGGATCCGTAAAGATAAAGTAGAGTGCCGGGAAAATGGACCAGACACCGACAATGTATCCAGCGGCATTGGTAAGATCCAACAAAATGGGTCCAGGGACATCCGTCAAGACGTCTTCCTTGGTATCGAGTCGTTTCGCCAGCCAAAGCGATCCAAATCCCCACACCGAGTCTGCGGCTTGTCCGAACGTGGCCGGATCTGGCACGAGAGGCCCTTCGTCTCCCTTTTGTGTGAGGAATAGTTTGTCACAAAACAGTTTTTGTCCTTCTGGATCTAGATGCGGTGCCAGATTCTGCAGCGCGTGTAATGCTGGCAATGCCAATGGAAGTTGATTGGGAGGTGCCATGTTTGGGTTGTTTGGGTCTTCTCCACTGGATGGTGAACTGGCAAAGGTTCCTTCGTAGAGTGATCCCGTCAAAATGGCCAAGACATTGGGCGAAAAAGCCAGCAAGCGAGCATTTTGAGCCGCAAAGGAGAGGTTGCGAATGATGATCAAGACCGCTTCAATGCATCGGACATTGTCCAGCTCCATGAGGTATTCTCTGTGTGAGAATCGATCCAGACAATGAGTGGCCCAGGTTTTGGCTTCGGCAGAGGAATGATCCGTCCATGCCTTGTCGGGTAGAAAGGTTGGTTGTCGATGTTTATTACTATTGTTGTTGTTGTCATTGTCATCATTCTCCCAATCGAGACAGTCAAATGCCACAGCCACCAATGATTTTACAATGGCTTCTCCATCGAGAACATAATTGGTGGCGGATTGCATCAACAGTTCGTTCAAGGCGCCATTGCGCTTGACCGGATCCAACAATCGAGCTGCCAGGGTTTGACTCTTGTCGCCTGCTGTGGCTGTTGTTACAGTAGGGTTTGCCACCACTTTGACGGGACGACTAGCAGGAGTGGGTGAACCGGCTCGTGATCGTTTGCGAGACGAAGTATTGGTGTTGCTGTTCCCAGCATTAGTTGATGAAGAAGTAACATTGCCCGTCAAGTTGTTGAGGCTCGTTGGAATGGCGCTGGGGGCGCCTGTGTCAGCAAAGGCATCGCTCGCAAACAACTCAAACGAGTCCATCTTGGCTTATCTTATGTACGGTACAGACAGCTACGGTACGGTACGGTACGGTACGTCTTTGTGTGTGGTGCTTTCTCTCTGATAGCACTGATAGAAGGGCCCCAAATCAAAGATGCCGTTGTGGTTTTGCTGCTTTCTGTGTTTGGCCATGGTCACAATCATTCAAGAACGCACATTTTCCCCGAAGTACCCGTATTTGCTTCGCTTTATCAGCCAGCCAGCAGTTAAGCTGCCCCGCTGGCTTACTACCGTATCCAACACGTCATTCGCGATCTTTCGATTTCGATGATTACATCGGGAGTGTCAACACCTCGAGAAGGAAAGCAAAGTCATGGACCAATACTTTGCAGCAACATCCACTTTGTTTGTCAGAGATAGATAGATACCCATTCAAGACCATGACAAGATTCTCGCTACTGTCGGTATTCGTGTGGTGGTGTACCCTCGAACTTTCGGCTGCCTTTACGGTTTCTCGTCGAGATGCGTTTGTGTCGGCAGCGTCGACCGCGGCGGCATTTGTACTCCCATCACAAGCCATGGCCGCAGCGCCGCCCACACCACAAGAACTAGCACGAATCAAGGAAGGATACAAAGGAATCGTCTATCTGCTGGATAATTGGGATGCCGAAACCACCACTTGTCGTGAAAATGGCGGAGAATGCAAACGAGATGCCGAACCAGTACGTCGCTATTTGGGATTGAGATCCACCACAGATCCATTGTTCCAAATTGAAAAGGTATTTGCAAAAGTCAAGTGAGTTGCATCCACACTACTACCGTCACTTTTTGGCTGTAATGTTGGAATGCTCATGTATCTTCTTTCTTCCTCTGGTTTTCGTTTTGTCAGGTACATGGACTTGGATCCTGACAAGCTAGACAACTTCTTCGAGGCATCAGAAGAGTGGAACTCGGCAATGAACATGTCAAATAGCATGGCATTCATCTCCCAGTTTGGGGTAAGTGGAATCGAACAAAGTCACTGAAGATGGATGGATGAATGATTGACTGGCATGGCAAGTCAGCTAGCTGCGTGTCAGGCTCATTTCAATGATTCTCATCTTTCTCATCTTGGTTGTTCATTGGCAACAGGAATACAATCCTGGTGGCGGCAAGGACGAAGTGCTGAAATATCTCAATGAGGCTAAAATACAAGTTGTGATTGCCAAAAAGTCACTCGAAATTATCATGGATAGTTTGGATATTGCCGCCTCGTAAAAGCCTATCAATTCACATGACGAGGGCAGCAAAAGGAATAGAATGGCATGATATCAAACCTGTTCAGCAAATAACGAACACAATCAGCACCGCAAAAAAACGTATTTGAGGAAGACATACATGTAGTGTCCTTTTAAAATAAAGAGCACACTAAGCTAGCAATTCAATCAGTCTGCCCTGTGGGAACCGGTAACCGTAGTTGTTCATGCGGACAGGCACGTCGTGGTGTCTGTTGCCGTGGCCCTTCTTAAAAGGAACTTTTGTGCTGTAGGATAAATCTTGTTGCCGTCTACCGGTAGCCAGTGCAAACACACGGATTTGTGCTGAAGTAGCACAGAACAAGTTGAGTCACTGGGAGACGGACCTGTGGGCTCGCTCTGTGGAAGCGGTTGCACAAGAGAAATGGGCCGTTTGTGTCAGCATGCTTTTGGGTATGCGTGTTCTCCACTGCAAGGAAACATGCCTTCTGAAGTGGGTTGGCTTGGTAGGCAGGTCAGGAAACAAATTGGTGTGCGTAGAACCAATTTGAGGAAGGTTCCTCCTGGCTTTCAGGCGAAGCAAAGTAATTGTGGGGATGAACTCTCATAGACAGACGAGACGACAGGTAGCAGCAGGACAATGGTGTTGAATGCCTTGCAAATCACTAGACCAATCATCTCCATCTTCTCATTCAACGCCTCCTCCAAAACAAGTGTTTCCCAAAGCACGAGAGATTTTGAAAAGTTGGTTGCCACTCTCTGCAGCACAGCCAGGTTGTTTCAGTACTGGTATGTTAATCGCGTCTAATGAGTTATCTACCCAGCCAGTAGCTAGCTAGGCATGACTAGTACAGTGCAACACATTTGAACTTGACTCGACTCGACTGGATTCGCTAACTCGCATGCACAAGCAAACGAAGACCAATGGATTCCAACCTGTACTAATGCACGTTGTCCCGCGGTATATAAAGGATGACACGAGCTCGGCCGCAGCCACTGTAACCGGTGTAGCAGAATGATTAGGCCACTCTCATAGCTATGTCCCGGGCATTAACTAGAGCTTGACTGCTCTCTAGCCAACCAGCTTCTCAACCATGACTATTTGTTGTCGTTGTTTGGCCCACGCCTGGGCTGTGAGGTTTCAGGAAAGAATATGCCTTGTTAATCCAGTACTGCTTGGTCAATTTCTCATAACGGTATCCCCCTGCTGGTGGTTCGAAGACAATTCTGTCAAAAGCTTGCTCCAAGAACTCTGGTGTAACTTGATCATACTGCTCCACCCAAACAACAGGGAGGTCGCGCATTGTGTCAGACATCCATCCATCTACTTCCATTCTACCCAAATGAGCAATCACTGGAAATGTTCCCAAATACATGGCCTCCCAATGTCTATAGCAATCCAGTCCCAATCCAGAGGGAGACCAGACAAAACGAGATCGCATCATCTGGTTGTAGTACAAATGCATGGCTGGGTGCCAATTCTTGCTCCCTTTTACACTTTGGAAGATTTGGTAGGTGTTCTGGATTGTCTCTGTGTTGTTGTCATTGGGCTTAGTCATTTCAGCGGCTTTCTCCATTGTCAAAGCCTCATAAGAAGTCTTCTCTGTGATGCTGTTCTGAATGATGGCACTACTGGCATTGAAGTTTTGCAGGATTTGCTTCATTGGCCCAGTACGCTGCCTCCAAGGCTTGGCATTCAGCATGAGAACTTCAGATCGGTTTGTTTTGGATGGGTGGTATGCCTCAATGATAGACCACATCCTGTTTCCCCCGTATCGCGGAAGTCCCAGGGGAAGGGAGAACACCTTCTCATGTCTGAAGATTTGAAATTGACTTGTGAAAATAGCAAGGGTATCGGGGTGATTGATGTATTTGAGAACAAACTCCCTGCTGCATCCTTCTCTTTCCTCCCAAAAGTGAGGTCCCAACTTCAAACTTGCAGTGTGTCCACGAAGTGGTGAGGACAGTGCTCCAAAATCATTGTGGAAGCGGATCAAGGCTACATGGGGCCATGAGACTTGGCTGTTGTTTTGATGAAATTTGTCAAATACTTTTGCAACTGTACAGAGGGAAGCCTCCTTGGCAAAGACAAAGGAATGATTGTGCAGATTTGCTTCTTCCAGGTTGGTAGTTTCGTCTTCAATAGTCACAACCTTGAATTCCTGTATCCAGGTATTAAAGGAACCCCCATCATGCCATCGTAACACGGATGAAAAATTTACCAATGCTTTCATTTGCTCATAGTGATGCTGATAAAAGGCAGCAACGCGTTCCTCCTTGGAGAAAGTAGAATTTGAGTCCCCAGAGGAATGTGCTTTGCTTCCATTTGAAAAAGTAGCATTGGCCTTAACTTGTGTATAAGATGGCTGCCCTTGCTGAAAATATACCCCAAGCTTTCCTTGCCAGTAATAGACACTGCTAGTAATGAAGATCAAGATTGGGACAGCAAAACCCCTTCGACAAGTGGACACCATTTTGCCATTGTGAGCTTTGGTCCAGTTGTTTCCTTTCTTTAGACCCTTTTCCAGTTTGTGTGCGGTCATCGCCCTCGCCCGTACCAGTTCAGGCGAGTTAGCTAGATTTATGGTGCTTTCTAAAAAGTTCACTCCCACCGATCTTATTTGTCTCAGTCCGAATGACTGTCTCAAATGACTATTTCGCTTAGATGACTTGACCGCGTTTTAGATAGGGGTATAGGGGTGGTGAAATCGAGCTATTATTAAAAAATGCCTTTTGGGATCGGTTCATGTAAACTTCTTCTGTTAAAGCCTGTTTCCGTTTATTAAGTACCGGTATTTGGAATCTATTTTGATCGGAAGCCTTCCGTTAGTTGGTTGTACAAATGACTTGTGCCTATTGCTGTATTACGTGTACAGTAAAACATGTATTTCGTGCCGATAGTAAATCGCTGATGTCTCATTGAGGCCGATCTAAATAAATAAATGACGTCCCAAAACTTGTATGCTTATGACATACAAGAGTACGACTGTAGGCACACTCGTACATGTACATTGACACAGCCGTATGGACGGTACCGGTACTAATGCGGTACAGTCGTACCAGTATGGTACCGTACCGTACGGTGCATGTACCACCCGTACAGAAATTGAGGATAAAACCCCATCTCTAAATTGATCAGATTCATCATTCAGCAGTCAGGCGTATCTTTTTCTTCTTCTGCCACCACGCACTTTCTCGCTCTGCGGCCATTTTGGGAACTTTGGACCGTCTGCGACCATGCATTTTCTTTGCTGATGCGAAAGAGAGGAACAACTCTGCATTTGCTTGTGTGTGGATAGAATCATAGAATCTTCCATCAATTGAGTTATCCACAAGACCTCATAATTTTGTAATCCGAGCAAAGGATACCGGTACGAGTAGACTGAAAGATTCAAGATGTCCTCGAAACTAAATGAGCTCCAGAATGCTACCGTCGGTATGACGGTTGGCGTCATTGAGGTACGTTCCCGGACCACACATCCGTGTTCTTTTCAATTTTCCCCTCGTTTTGCTTTCTCACTTGTCTGTTTCCTGTGATAATATAGGTCTTGATCCTCCAGCCATTCAATTACGCCAAGAACATGGCGCAGCAGAGGCAACCAATCCAACTGAATCCCATGATCATGTATCGTGGTGTGGGCGCAAATGCTGTCAACATGGGTTCCTGTACCATGATCCAATTCGCCGTGGGGGGCAAGCTGAAACATATTGTTACCGGCGGGGAGGCCAAAACACGCCATTTGACTCTTGCAGAGGAGATGATTTGTGGTATTGGAGCTGGAGCAGTGAGTGGTTTGGTTGGAAGTCCCTTGGAACTCATCATGATTCAGCAACAACGAAAGGGAGGCGGCACAGTCGACACAATCAAAAATATCATCAAGAATCCACCGGATGTTTACCGTGGGCTTCTTGGATGTGCCATCCGTGAGGCTCTCTGGACTTGTGGTTATCTTAGTATCCCACCTGTTGTGAGGAGAACTCTCATGGAAAAATACCCCGACACTTTTACATCAAATGACAAAGCTCGGGTCCCTGCTGCGTTGCTTGGAGGATTGTTTGCTTGCTACCTGACTCAATGGGCTGATACCATCAAAACCTGCATGCAAGGAGACATTGAACGTACAACCTACGGAACTTTCTCCGCTTCGGCAAGGCATATTTGGGCTGAGTCTGGCATTCCAGGATTTTACCGTGGTGCCACTTTCAGGTATGGCCGTATGGCTTGTGCTGTGTTTATTATGGACTACTCGGCCGAATTCTTTGCCAAGTTGATGTACCCAAACGCTTTCGCCTAAACATGGCGCAGCGAGTACGCAGATTCTGCCGTTGTGACGGGGACGGCCTCTTGTGTTATGGTTATTGGATTCTTGGCGGAGTTTTTGGCCAAGTTATTGATACATGCAATCAATCCACATTCTATCCAAGATGGGGGCCTGTTTCTGTCACGCGTTTTGCTGTTGGTGGACTTGTGCGTTTCTCAATATATGAGAAACCTATACAAAATGCACATTCATTTCATTTCAGTTTACGTATGTTTATTTAAGTTTCAAATGCAGCAAGAATCGCCTCGCCTGTTGGGATTTCTTCATCTGATAAACATGGGACGTAGATTTCGTCTCCGTTTTTCATGTCTCGTCGTTGATGTGCGACAAACTGCTCTCCAGGATGCAGTTTAGTAATTGCTCCAAGGATTGGGAAATAGCTCGTTCCACTAACATAAATGTTCTGAAAGTGGTATATTGGTTTGAACGATTCAGCGAATTCGATCCTTTGCTTACGGCCCCTGACGCTTTGCTGGCCTTGACTGCTGACCTTGTCGACAAGGTCCGGATTGAGAAGGATCACCGGCCTGTCACCGGCTGCCTCCACCATTTCTGCCAGAGATCCCATGATGGACGATTCAATGCCCACCATACTCTGTGGGGCAATCAGAATGAAGACATCGTCTTGCTCGACCTTTTCTCCATCGGCATTGGTGTGAGCATCCACGACGTGTTCCCTTCCAATGTTACCAAACCTGATGTATTCGCCCACCATACCTTCGTTTTCTTCGCCCTCGTCACTTTCCCAATCCATCATTTGCAAAAGTTTGGAAACACCATTCAGTGATTTGGGAACTCCAGTAAAGATCCCTGAGAAGTCGAGGACGGAGGAAAATAAATGTGAGCCAAAGCCTCTTGAATGATATGGGACGAAAACTCCCTTCTGTTTGCTTTGCTTCTTACCAACACCCATACTACCTTGTACGCAAACGCGCACGCGTAAGTTTTCCTCTGCGAGCCGAATGGCGATTACCCGAACCAACTCAAGAATCGTTCCAATACGATAAGAGTCCATTGATGGCTAAGGCGGATGACAAGTCAAGTCGAGACAGCATGATATATGTGAGGTGTGGTGAGGTGACCCATTGCCGTGAAGAAAAAAGCACAATCTATGTCTTCCGAGGGCAGCTCCAGGAATAGTTGCTTACATTCATTTCTTTCCGTGTTCAAAGAACAATCCAGATTAGTTTGACGACAGCAGCATTTGCAGTACAGTACTGAGTACATATAACATAAACGGAGTTTGAAACTTACCTGGGAACATGGATGTAATCTTCATTCGATTGGAGATTTGCTTTTGTGAGCAAAGAATGCAAGCTTCTAGTGTGGCTTGGGAGGCTCCATCATAGAAATACCGGCGCACGTATCGGTTGTGGGGTACTTGGTTTAAAAACATGTTTTCTGGTAGCTTGCCAACACCATCTCCGTCCAACTGAATCGCCAATTGAATGAGCTTTCCGCTGACCTCTGGCTTTCCAACCGCCCAACACAAACGACCGAGTCTTCTCATAATATAGTCAATAGCCGAGAGTGTGACACCGTCGTACACGGGAACAGGGGCTTTGTTCGTGTAGCTTCGTTTTCGTTCGGGCAAAACATCAGCCTCTTGGCAGAAGAAGAAACCGATGCAGACACAGAGTGAATGAGAAATGTGGTATGGCAACCTGATCAAAAGGCTTCCTGTCTAGCTAGAAGCCAAAACTCACCAAGATCCACCGACACAGTCTTGACCAGCAGCTTCTTGCCGCGAAGCTTGATTGTCACTTCCAAGTCAAACTTTTCCGTATCGATGCCGACAATTTTGGAGCTTTCAATGACGTAAGACCCGCCACTCCAAGCATTCTTCTTGGCTTGTTCTGCACCCACTTCTGAAAACGCCTTGGCAAAATCTGCCAGCAAATCCTGATGATGTTTGTTGATATATCCCATTGTGAAATCCAACTGCTTTTCGGACAATTGACTCTTGTCTACATCATCTGCAGTGCTGCTGCTACTTGCAAAGACGGTAGATTGGGGGATCTTGGCATTTCTGGAGATTTCAAGTGGGACGAAGCCACTCGTCGTGAGTACCCACTGAAAGATAAGGAAGCAGGATAAGTAGCGATTGGAACCCATAGTGCTGATTTACTCCGCCATAGGTAGACTTGACAACTATATGAAGGAACAAGAAGTGCTGAAGCCGTCGATCTTTGTGCTGGTGCCATCGTCGAAGATCAATTTCAGAAAAAGATCCAGAGGGTCCTGACGTTGCGAAGACATCAAAGCTGCTGAAAGTGGATATTTCAGCTTCACTGGTTTAACGGGATCCATCGCGAGGCCGCGAGGTCTTGGCGAGTAGAGGTTATTAATAGATAGTACACAAGGGCATATAGTAAAAGATTACTGTGACGGATTCTACTGTAGTTTGCAATACTTAGGCGGATTCAAATTTTGTCTTCTAACTCCCGTGTGTCAGTTGGGGTCTTGTGGAAGGTGCGAAGACTTAGCGACGTACCTCTGCAGGTCACCACAGGAAGATACGTTCTCACAATATCGCTCCGTGGAGGTTCGTGACATTGGATCGCAACATTGAATTGGAGGGAGTCAACAGTTGAATCTATCATTACAACTACAACACTATGAGGATCAACACTAGTCAAGTCTTTTCAAAGTGGTTGCTAGATAAGAGTTTCTACCCCTACAATGAGTTAAGGGCTACCAGGTACAGCTTTGAGTGCAGGTATGTTTTGCTGGAAGCAGGAGAGGTCCAGCATCCCAGTTTCAGGTCCTTGAAATGTGTGGCAGCAAGTAGCTTTGACACTCCCAGCTTGGAACAAGTCATCATGAGTGGAAGTGCCAAGCCCATGACTCCTGATATGTGCTTCATTCTTGACAGCATGGAGTGTTGGGGATACTACCATAATATTGAGTGGTACAGTATTGTTCTTGACATGATAGCCACCATGTTTGAAGAGGATAAACCTACAAGCAAGGAAAGGATGTGGAAGCAATGCATTTACTGGAGAGTTAGAAGCAGGGCTCATGCAACTTATGAGTATGACTCTCTTGGTCATGATGCAGTGTTGACTTACTGGTCTGAGTGGTTTGACAGGACCTTTCCAATGCCCATAATCTCCTTTAGGGTGATGACACTGATGAGTGAGGATTTTGTTACTGACATCATTACCTACATTCAGACAAGGGGAATTGTTCCTTACCCTCCAATCATGGATGGACCTGACTCCATTACTAGCTCTGAAAATTGAGAGAGGAGGAGAAAGAAAGTCTTTGTTGGGGTTTGTTATCCAGTTTGTGTAAAAGTAACAATAATAGGGCAGACTTACCACTGTCTCATACCAATTCGCCACAGTACTCTCTTGATCTTTGTGGATAGCATGAGTACACTTCTCTCCCATAGGACAGCTGACATGGAACTCCTCTCTCTGTTTGCATCTGCCACAATAGTCCCTCTTGCAGCTTGAAGCAACTCCTTCCACTGCCACAATATGATCTCTTTTCAGGAAGCCACATCGCTTGCAGTACTTTCTGCTCTTGAATCGCCGCCTTGTTGGTCTTGGTGGGGCTGCTGGTGGAGGGATGGTCAAGGACACTCTAAAAGCTGCATTTGTTCTTGTGAGATTGGCAATAGAGGCAGCAGCTGCAACAGCACCAGCTGCAACCTCTGCATTCAGCACAGTGGGATCTCCAAAAGGTGTGTTTCCATCATTGCTGTAAGCTGGTGGCTGAGTATCAAAAATCCTTGGTGCTGCACTCTCTGGTAGCGCCCTCCTGTTGACACGGAGTTGTTGATCCAGATCCTGTCTATCAGTTTCATCAACAGGAGCGGCCTGAATGCTTTCTATCTGTTCAAGTTTGTCATAGTGCTGTTGGAGTAGAGCTCTGCTCTTGTACCTGATCTGAACAGGGACTTCTGTCTCATCTCCTTGAGTGCTCCAGAGCTTGAACCGCCCTGCCACTTCTCCATTCCAATCTCGCTCAAACGACTTGAAGCTTGTAGGTCCTGATTGGGCGCCTCTTTTGTATCGCAAAACCCAGTCTTTGAAGACTGATGCTTCTTCTCTATCAACATCTGTTGCCGCTATTGCACTGTCAGGTGACCTGAAGGGGATCCACTCGCATTGGTTCGAGAGTCGTCGGAATGCTTGTAGAGTTGATTCGGGGCCTGTGTCTGTTGGTAGCAATCGATTTAGCTCTTGTTGAATGAGCTCTCGGTTGGCCCTGTCATTGGCTTCAGCTCTTTCAGCAGCTTCATCCAGTGCTTGTCGTTGACCTTGGGATCTGCGATGTCGCTCGGCCTCTAAGTATTCCTCCTCAGTTGCAAACATCTCAATATCGAGCTCATCACCAACTCGGGCGCCAATAACTCTATCAATCTCCTGCTGTGACTGTGGAATTTGTTCTTCTTCCTCGATGGCAGAAGTTTCATTATCTCCCTGTTCACCACAGTCAGACTCATACCCATCACCGGTACCATCTGCCGGATTGGACACTTCCACCTCGTCTTGGGCGACTGGAATGCCTTCATAGTTAAAGCCCATGAACTCCACCACACCATCGACTGGTTTCTTTGGAGCGCCAAGGTCATATGGAGGCTTCTCAAAACCTATTTTCTCTGCATAAGCATTAAGCAACAGAAGCTTCTCAGTATTGAGTATGCCATAATCCTTTGCGCCAAGTCGGATAACACACTTCCTATCGTTCTTTTCTTCAAAGAAACAACACATAATACGCTCTCCTCTCTGGATACCTAGTAAAATTCAGTTGCACTACGCTAAAAGCTAGTGTAAAGATCTTTCGAGTGTTTTGAGTTTGAGAGAATGAAAGTTATGAGAGAGGATTAGAAAGCTATGAAAACTAATCAACGAAGAGATCCACAATCAAAGGATCGTAGATCTGAACTCCCGCGGGAGACTGTAGAGTGTGATAGAGTAGGTTGTGGTAGCAATCCTACTCATCCACGATCCAAAAACGGAACGCGTGGAAGATTCGTCTAGCATTTATCTAGTACGTGAAGTGCTCCACGCTGGCTAAATATCTAGAGCGATGTTTCATCATCAACCTAGTATGACTAGAGCGGTCATTGAGAACCCTGTCTCAATGACTATTCACGAAGAACTCAGTCATGAGTCGAACTCAAACCCTATCTAGGATCGAGTCGCGAATAAGGCTAAGAGCCGTGTATTGCATTCGCCCCCTGCCAAGGGTCACGGAAGGCACGACATCAGTCGGACAAGGAGAACATATGAATTAAAGTGCGGGGCACTCTCCGGAGATTGGATGTAGACAGTGCGTCGCACGATGGAAATCCTACAAGGGGATCAGGCCTTGTATGGGTGTAAATACCTTATGTTCCAAGTCTGGTAGACTGTGCCGCTACGGCGGTAGTATGTCGGAGCGTACAGTGCATGTTATTACTCGGTCTGTGTGGTAAGGACCTTGTGCGTTGGCTGACCGTACTAACGGTTTCGATACTGATGAATCCTCATAGTATCGTTGACATGGTGTTGATGAGGGACACGTGTCGTGTTTCCCTTATCGTTGTTTTGTGGATAAGTCGTTGGCGACGTTCCTTAATGTATTTCCGGTTTGCTTTGAAACGGATGTAGTGAGTCTTGTCACGATTGACCGCGTGAACTTCGACGAAGTCCATGTTCATCCCGGAAAGTCTTCTCGACCTCTGCACGGGACCTCACGTTCTCTGTCCATGACAACCGGTCATGGATACTGGGTAAACCACGTCTGTTTCAGAACGGTGGTTACTCCACTGCTGTCTTGGAGCAGCCCTTGGTAGTTCATTGGTCCATGAATCACGAAGTTCCTCCTGTTGGTAGGAAGAGCGATAGCTGGATCGCATCTGTTATCTTTTTAGTTAAGGGTTGGATTCCTTCTCGAGAAGTCCAATTGTCTAATACTCCAGTTCTTCCTATCGAGGAAGGCCTTGGTAGTGTTGATTTAAATCCACTTCTTGAAGTCTTTGGAAAAGGTCATCCTACTATTCAACGCGATCTCGAGATCGACGTCCGTTAGGATAGTTGATCATCAAGTATGCACGGACATTTTCTAAGTCATGCAGGCGTGTTTTCATCTTCCTTTGAAGATGTCGGACTATTACATAGGCCCATTGGCAACTTGGTACTCGTGCTTTCCCTTCGGAGTGCAATGGCATAGTGTTGCTTCAGTGATGTGACAGCTCGATTGGGTATGTCCCGTGTTCAGGTCTGATTAGTAGCGCACTTGAATCCATCTGGGTTCAAGAGCAATGTCTTGTATTTTTGGGATAGGATAAGGCTTCGCTTGATCCTTTTGTTCGGTTCCTGGAAATCAGAGATGAATCGTATGGATCCCTCTTTCTTGGGAATGAAAAAGTTGGTGCCGCCCATCGAACGATTACCTTCTTGATCTCCTGCCTCGCAGAGACGTTCAACCTCCTTCTTAAGAGTGTTGGTTGACCCGTGGAGTAGGGTAGGCCTAGTATAATAGGTTTAGCGTCGGGAGAAGTTCTACTTCGTAGTCGTCCATTCGCAACTCTCCAAGTATCCCTCGACTGGGTCGAAGCACTTGGTTGAAAGGCATGAGGCAGTTCTTGCTCCTTCTTATTTAACTGTTTCGATCTGGCACATCTGCCTTAATCTTTGTTCGTATGTATCAAGAATCTTCTTGAGACTATTCTGCATTGTCGTGACAGCTGCAGGATCGGGAATGGAGAAGTTCTCCTTTCTATCGTTATGCCATCTTTCCAGGAAAAAATGCGGTTCCACCCAGACATGGTAGTGAAATCAAACTTGATTCTTAGTCGAGAGAGTGTCGACCTATGATACGTTTGCGCCCCCAAGTTCTTGGTGACGTGTAAATTCCATTCGATAATCTATATCGGGAACTCAGGAACAGAGTGTGCCCTTACACTTCGTGCGGGTTTCATTCCTTCAAGAAGCATCCGTAATGTTTGGACCCCATGATTCTTCATGAGTAAACTCTTAGCATGAGTTTGAGTAATTAAGTTCCGGATGCTCCTGTATCCAGTAAGCAACAGAGTGTAAGGGTTTTGTTTCCCTTTCTCTCGTCTGTTAAATCTAACAATGACGATAGTGAGGTCTTGTCTTGCGACGTTGAGAGTTGATTGGCCATGAACGAAGTAACGATGCTGAACAGATCGTCAGGTCTAGTTGAGTAGTTGCTAGGCAATTATCTAATTTGCCGTAGATTCATAGTTGAAAACAAATCTTGTTTACTATTTAGTGAGTATCTTTCATCACTTAGGTATGAGAA